CCCGGGTCCCCACACCCCACCACGGGGGAGCGCAGGGGCTACCCCTGGGTCCCCACATCCCACCAGAGGAGTGCAGGGGCCACCCCCAAGTCCCCACACCCACCACGGGGGAGAACAGGAGCTACCCCCGGGTCCCCGCACCCACCACAGGGGAGCACAGGGGCCACCCTTTGACCAGGGTTCTCACTGGTGGCACAATGGCAATGCCCGGAGCCCAGGTATACCTGAGTCCCCCAGAGGGTCACAGGGTCCACCATGGGTGCTACTCAAACCTACACAAGTAAGTGCCAGACTGACAGGGCTGACTCAGCTCTCGTCACTGTGAAAGCAAGTGTCAGGAACAGAACATGGGCAGAGTGGTGTGAACAGCCACTCCTCATACACACCTGGTAGAAATGGGTCAATATTCGCAACTGTGAGCACATTTTCGGTATAGATTCTTTAAATTCTCCAATCCTCTTATTTTCCTCCTCTTCCTCTGCTGCCGTCACTCCCCACTGGCCCTGGAGCATCAAAAGTACCAAAAGTAAGTAAAATCACGACGGAAAACAGGTTACAGAGTAGGGCTGAGAACAGGTATGTGAGGAGCGGGAGGTGTCTGCTTTTTATGCCTCTCTGTACCGTTCAATACTTTCACAATAATTTTCTGATGCCAGACTGCTCTCCAGTTTACTTTTTCCAGTTAACAATGTATCTTGAAAATATTTCATATGAACACATTTGAGTGCAGAGAACTGCCTCTGTTGTTTTTAATATCACATTGTATAACGTGTAACAGTGTATATCGTTCATCTCATTTAGTGTGATGTAAACAGCCTTCTATCCTTCCCTTGTGCTGTACACGTTTTTATACAACAAAGACAGTATGTGTGAAAGTGGAACCAGCTGGCTCAAAGTGTCCGCACCCTTTAAACTATGATCTTGACTTTAATGAGAATGCTTCTAGTTCCCTAACCATGATGTATTTTTCAGTACTGGAGATATACCCATTTATTTCTATTTTTAAGATCATTTTCAATCAGTGATGAATTTGACTAAATGTCTTCTCAGATAGCATATAGGAATTTTTTTTTTTTTTCTTTTTTTGAGGTGGAGTTTCACTCTCCCAGGCTAGAATGCAATGGCGTGACCTCAGCTCACTGCAACCTCAGCCTCCTGGGTTCAAGTGATTCTTCTGCCTCAGTCTCCCGAGTAGCTGGGATTATAGGCATGAACCACCATGCCCGGCTAATTTTGTATTTTTAGTAGAGATGGGGTTTCACCATGTTGACCAGGCTTGTCTCGAACTCCTGACCTCAGGTGATCTGCCCGCCTCGGACTCCCAAAGTGCAGGGATTACAGGCAGGAGCCACCGCTCCCAGCCATGATTTAATTCGCTTGTCAAATACGGTGAATTATACTACTGGATTTCCCAAACCTACGCATTCCTGAAATAAATCCTAGTCTTCGTAAATTACGCTTTTAAATTCTGCTAGCCATTTTTCAATTATATTTTATGTGAAATTTCTCCATCAATATTTATAACCCAGATTTGTTTTTTCTCAGATAGGGCATCAGCCTCGTGATGCTTCCTACACAAGTTAGAAACTCTCCTTTTCTGACTTGGAACAATTCACAGAGCACAAAGCTGACCACTGGTGCGTTCGGGAGGCTTTCTCAGCACGGCTGACCTGACGCTTTTTGGTGGAAGCCCTTCGACGGCTTTGTTTCTTCTTTAGTATTTGTCCCGCTTACAATTTCCCTTCTCTCATGGGGCCAATTTCGGAAACCTATGGAAAATGATTTCCTTCAAGTAGATTTTTTTCCACAGAGCTGAGCAAAAGAGTATGTTCTTTTCACTTGTTTTGTAAGTTTGTGCCTTCTCCTCCCACTACCTCTCAGATTCCTTTACGGCTTAATTTCCCTCCACTCCTCGGCCCCCAAAAAGGCCCAGCTCTTGGACTTTATTAACTTGTTTTCTGATTCACTAATTTTCACTTTCATCTTTACTAATTATGTCCTTTGGCTTTTTCTTTAGGTTTCATTCCTGCTTTTCCAACTTTTTGAGTGGGATGTTTATTTACTTTCATTCTCTCCAATTTATTAATATAGGCAGTTATGAATTTTCATATTTTCTTATTTATGTGCATTTTATCTTCCATAGTCTGTAAGAAACTGATTATTTGTCTAATATCCATGTGTTTTGACCCATTTCTCCTTGTTTGCTGGTGGTTTTCTAAGTGAGTACTGATACGGCGTGACCTGGGCCTTGCAGGAAGCCTGCTCTGCGTGGTCCTCACTGTGCCCTGCTCCTCCCATCACTGCATCGCGCCCTTCCTGCCGTGTTTACTGTTTTGTGCTCTGCGTGGTCCTCACTGTGCCCTGCTCCTCCCACCACTCCAACGCGCCCGTCCTGCCGTGTTCACTGTTCTGTGCTCTGAACCACAACCTGCTTTGCTTTGAAGAATTTAATTTGCTTTATGTGCCTTGTTCATGTCCACTGTTTTCTTTCTGAACTGTCTACATCACTCTGTTCTACGCCACAACTTCCCAATTTGTCTTCTTCCCCCTCCCGCCTTTTTGTGGAAAACAGGGTCTTGCTATATTGCCCAGGCAGGTCTCCAACTCCTAGGCTCAAGTGATCCTCCCACCTCTGCCTCCCTAAGAGCTGGGATTACAGGCGTGAGTCACTGCGCCCGGCCAGAACTTCCTAGTTTGTAGGTCTGCCCAGATAATGACCTTCAGCCCTCAGCTACCAGCCATCCAGCACCCCCACCCGGGCCATCAAGCAAACACCATCTCTACTGAGCAGCTTTGAACCCAAGTCCCCCGATCGACGTGACGTACATCTGCTCTCAGTTCTGTCTTCATATTTATACTGCGCTTTCCAGCTTGAGGGTGGTAATCTTCTACCATATCACCTGTGTTTCTTCTAATAGCCAGGCAGTGACACTGTGTCCCAGTGGTTACCTTTTTACCTATACGTCATAAGACATTCCATCTTCTTCTTCAGATGGTATCAATATTCTAATCTGGGCAATAATAATTATTGTCCTCCTTCCTTTTGCCATCTGATTTTAGAAAACATTCTATTCATATCTCTAACATCTTTTAACACAGGTATACCTGTCTTCATTTATGAGCTTTAAACAGTATCTTTCGATGCTTGGTTACAAAAGATAAAGAAATAACAGTATTTACTTTCCATCTTTTCCTCACCAACCTCTTTTATTTCTTTAAACAAATTTTTGAAATTTACTATTTTACTGTAGTATAACACACATAAAAAAGTGTAAAAACTCATACGTGAACAGCTTAGTAAGTTATCACAAGATGAATATGCCCAGGTCACCCCCATGCAGATGCAGAGCAAGGGCAACTCAGCACCCAGATGTTCCTGTGGCCCCTTCCAATCACCACCTCTCCTCCCGGAGAAGCCCTGGCTATGGGAACGGGGCCTGGTGTGCCTGAGATGCTCTAGCTACGGGAATGGGGCCTGGTGTGCCTGAGACGCCCTGGCTATGGGAACGGGGCCTGGTGTGCCTGAGACGCCCTGGCTATGGGAACGGGGCCTGGTGTGCCTGAGACGCTCTAGCTACGGGAATGGGGCCTGGTGTGCTTGAGACGCCCCTGACTATGGGAACAGGGCCTGGTGTGCCTGAGATACTCTAGCTACAGGAATGGGGCCTGGTGTGCCTGAGACACCCTAGCTATGGGAACTGGGCCTGGTGTGTCTGAGATACTCTAGCTATGGGAATGGGGCCTGGTGTGC